GGGCTCAGGCAATCCACTCACCTCAGCCTCCCAAAGGCGCGGGATTACAGGCTAAGCCACCGAGCCCGGCTTCCAGGCCACATTTAAAGAGAGGCCAGAGGAAACCAGAGCAGCAGGAAACAGGCAGGAGGGGCAATTAACACAGCCCTTTCCCATGGCCTCATTCTTTCCCATGCCACTACTTTCAGCCATATTTCAATCACAACAAAAACCTCCCTTCTCTGAAAGTTTTCATAATTTTTGAGGGTCACAGGGAGGCAATGGGGGAAACAAGCAGAAGCACATGGGAAAAGCTCCTATCACATGTGTCAACTAGCCATAGTACGAAAATCAGAAGTACACTGATAGCATGCAGAAGAGTGGTGAGGCAAACTGACTCCTTTAGCCTAATGATAAGAGTCCTTCACAGCAATGGGAGGATGGCCCCAGCCAAGGGGCTCTGAATGCAGATGAGAGAGGTTGGTGTACTGGAAGATGCAGTCATCTCCAGAAAGTGGAATTTACTCCCTTTTCTTAGATTGATGGGGACAATAGCGATGTAGGATACTGGAAAACAGGTATGATGTTCACGTCCTTCCACCCCTGACAAACTGACACTAAAAAGGATTCAATTCACCACCAAAGTGAGAAACATACTCACTAACAACATACCTTTGGTGGAAAAAGTTTGCCAGGCTCGGTGGCTCAGCCTGTAATCCCAGCACTTTGGGAAGATAAGGCAAGTGGATTGCCTGAGCCCGTGGGTTCGAGACCAGCCCAGGCAACTTGGTGAAACCTCATCTCTACAATAGATAAAAAATTAGCCAAGCATAGTAGCACATGCCTGTAGTTCCAGCTACTTGGAAGGCCAAGGTGGAAGGACAGCCAGAGCCCAGCAGGTCAATGCTGGAGTGGCCGTGAGTGTGCCACGGCACTCTAGCCTGGACAACAGAGTGAGACTCTAACTCAAAAAAAAAAGTGTCACGGTGGAAAAGAAAATATAAGAACTGGGTTCTTCCAAAAAGTTAGTTATATGCCCTTCAAATAAAAGATGATCTTTGGGTATCTTATGAAGGACTTACAAATCTTTTTTTTTTGAGTCAGAGTCTCACTCTATTGCTAAGGCTAGAGTGCAGTGGCACGCTCATACCACCGCAGCCTTGACCTGCTAGGCTCAGACGATCCCTCCACCTCAGCCAACCAAGTAGCTGGAACTACAGGCGCGGGTTACCACATCTGGCTTTTTTTAATTTATTGTAGAGATGAGAGCTCACCAAGTTGCCCAGGTTGGTCTCAAACTCCTGAGCTCAGGCAATCCTCTTGCCTTGGCCACCCAAAGTGCTGGGATTACAGGCTTGAGTCACCGTGCCAGCCACAAATCTCTTAACTAGTGCATGCCCATAGTCCCATCTACTCAGGAGGCTGAGGTGGAAAAATCATTCAAGCCCAGGAGTTGGCCAGCTTGGGCACCAGAGTAAGACACTGTCTCTAAAAAGTAATAACAACAACAACAGGCCAGGCACGGTGGCTTAGCCTGTAATCCCAGCTCTTTGGGAGGCAGAGGCAAGACAACTGCCTGAGCCCAGGGGTTCAAGACCAGCCTGGGCAACTTGGTAAGACCTAGTTTCCACAATAAATCACAAACTAGCCGGGCATGGTGGCTTGTGCCTGTAGTTCTAGCTACTTGGAAGGCTGAGGCAGAAGGATCACCTGAGCCCAGTAGGTAGAGGCTGCAGTGGCCATTGAGTGTGCCACTGCATTCCAGCCTGGGTGACAATGAGTGAGACTCCAACCCTAAAAAAAACAAAAACCAATAAAACTGTTTTTAGAAAACGTCTAAATTGTTAGGATACACAGGTGCTGGAGGAAGCCTAAATAGTGGCAGACAATATACCTTCGTTGGAAGGTAGAAATAACATCTAACAGTGGTAGGAAACGACAGAGTGATGATGGAATCAACCCCTAAATACAGGAGTGGTGACAGGTGAGATGCGTAGGAAACTAGATAGAAAACTCGGGGGGAAAGGTGGGAAAGCCAAGTGGGAAAGTGATTCAGAGGTAAAGAAAACTGAGTTGTAATGCACCAATTAAAGAATAACATTTTGAAGCCGGGCTCGGTGGCTCAGCCTGTAATCCCGCGCCTTTGGGAGGCTGAGGTGAGTGGATTGCCTGACCCCGCGGGTTCGAGACCCGCCTGGGCAGCGAGACTTCATCTCTACAACAAATCAAAAAATCAGCCGGGCGTGGTAGCGCATGCCTGTAATTCCGGCTACTTGGAAGGCTGAGGCGGAAGGATCGACAGAGCCCAGCAGGTCGAGGCTGCGGTGGCCGGGAGCGGCCACTGCACTCCAATCTGGGCGACAGAGTGAGACTCCAACTCAAAAAATAAATAAATAAAACAACATTTTGAAGATTAAAGCAGGCAGCTCTTTAGAGTTACAAAGCGCTCTCCAACGTGCAGTAAAGACTAAATTGTGACACAATCAGAATACAAGAACCGGGAGTGAGGAGGAAAACTGAGTCCCAACTGAGACCAAAGCCCTCCAGAATGAAAAGGAGACGTGGAACTGAACTGTGCCTCCGGGTAAGCCAGGAAAGGTTAGAGAGTGCAGAAGCTGGGCTCTAACAGGGCTGGTCCCAGGACTAGCGACAGGCGTGAAAGAGGAAAGGTGGTCAGAGAGGAGCGACAGCGTGGCTGAGGAGTCCCAGCAGACTGGCGGGCACCGAGGTAAGAGAGAAAACCACACCCTCCAGCGCAGAAACCCAAGGGGGGAGGGGAAGGCGCCCCCCGGGGCTGGGTGGGGTCTGGCGGGCCAGGACGGGCGAAAGCAGGAAGGAACACGGGTCAACCCGAGAGGAAGAGGAAGAAGGGAGCCAGGGCTTGGACAGAGGGAGAGTGAAAACAGCGAGGGACGCTCGGCCCGGTCCTCACGGGTGGACACTGGGACAGTGTGAAGGGGGTTGGGGGCTCAGAAGAGCTGAACCTAGGACTAGAAGACGCAAGCAGCGGCGTTGAGGGCCCTGAAACAGGGAAGGGGAGGGAGAGGATAGCAATTACCGCAGCTATTCTCGCTGGACTCAGGACCCGCTGCCGCCGCCGCCGCCACCCGTTACCTGCCAATGTGCCTCTTACAAAGCGGCGGCGGCGGCAGACGCGGCCCAGCCCGTCACGTGACCTTCGCGTCACGGGCGAAGGCGGAGTCACCACTCGTCGCTCACGCGCGGCTCTCCAGCCCGCCCAGGGAGCGCGCCGCCCCCTCCGGCTACCGCCACGCCGCGGCCGGGCGAGGCCAACGGTGCGGAGGCGGGGGAGGCAAGGGGAAGGGATAAGTCGGGGAGATCGTATGGCATTTCTTGTACTCGGAGTTCTCAGGAGAGTATGACCCTTCGCATTCGGGTTCCCAGCGGCAGTTCGTTGTCGCGCTCTGATGACCTCACAAGGCACCACAGGTGGCTCCCTGCGGCCGCCTCTGTGATCACGTGACGTGGCCCAACCACTCAAGGCAACCCTGGCTTCCCACACATTGCAGGAGAGGACTACAACTCCCAACTTGCTGCTTAGCAAGGGCTGCCGCTGCCGCTGCCTTTCCCCCCGCGAGTTCCCGGACGCACCCCCAGAGACGTTAGTGCGTACCGGGGCCGGACGGAAAGCGGGCGGGGCTGACTTCCGGGACTGACACCAACGGTGCAGCTTGCTAGCCGGCTGAGCGGGTTCCTGCGGAGTGTGTCGTGCCGGCGGGGGGTGGAGTTCCGCTCCACGTTCCCGGCTCGCGCTCCGCCCCGCCCCGCCCCGCCCCCTGCGCGGGAAAACGTCAACCGCCCACCCAGACACCTGCCGCTCCGGGAGCCCCGGCAAGGCTAAAGAGCTCGCGACTTCGGGCTTGCTAAGCGTGGAAGGAGTTTTGCACTCCCAAGGTTCTGCGTGAAAAGACTAACATATTGAACGCCTATTTTGTGTCAACCGGGTGTTTTTGTTTGGTTTTTTTAGAGACGGGTCTCACTACGTCACCCAGACCGGTCTCGAACGCCTGAGCGCAACTGATCCTCCCGGCTGGGCCTCCCAAAGTCCTGGGATTACGGGCGTGAACCACTTGCGCCTGGCCTATGTCAGCCTATATGTATGCAGGGATTTTTATTATATAATTAACGTCTTGAGTCCAGGATTGGCCCCGTTTTAAGGATAAAGAGAGAGGATTAGAGAATTATTTTCTGGCTAAAGAAATCCAAACCAGGTTTTCAGTCTTAGAAAACTGAATGGCTCTCCTCTCACTAAGATCTGACCTGTTAACTCTAGAAGGTATGCATAAATAAGATAACCGTTTTTAATTGTGGCATAGTGATTTTTTGTTTGTTTTGTTTTTGAGTTGGAGTCTCACTCTTTGTCACCCAGGCTGGAGTACAGTGGCACACTCACTGCCACTGCAGCCCCAACCTGCTGAGCTCAGGCGATCCTTCCTCCTCAGCCTTCCTAGTAGCTGGAACCACAGACACACACCACCATACCCGGCTAGTTTTTGTGATTTATTGTAGAGACGAGGTCTTACCAAGTTGCCCAGGCTGGTCTCCAGCCCCCAGGTTCAGGCAGTCCTATCGACTCGGCCTCCCAAAGTCCTGGGATTACAGGTTGAGCCACCGCGCCCAAGCAGCACAGTGTTTTTAGAGTTTAAAGTATTTTCTCATTTTCTGGTCTATTTGATCCTCAAAAGTAGTATCCCAGGCTAGTTAGATACAAGGACTTTGCAGTTCCAGCAGGCATTACTTCAGTTGAAGCTTTCCTCTGTGATAACACCATTTCACCTGGTTGTGAAAATTAAGTGAGGTTATGTAAAGTAAAGCTTAACACATAGTACACCCTCAAAGAATATTAGTAACTATGTTTACGGGCCAGGCTTGGTGGCTCAGCCTGTAATCCCAGCACTGGGAGGCTGAGGCTAGTGGATTGCCTGAGCCTGCGAGTTTGAGACCAGCCTGGGCAACTTGGTGAGACCTCATCTCTACAATAGAAAAATTAAAAATTAGCCAGGCTCAGTGGCTCAACCTGTAATCCTGCGCTTTGAGAGGCTGAGGTGAGTGGATTGCCTGAGCCCGCGGGTTCGAGACCCGCCTGGGCAACTTGGCAAGACCTCATCTCTACAATAAATCAAAAAATTAGCCAGGCATGGTAGCACATGCTTGTAGTTCCAGCTACTTGGAAGGCTGAGGCGGAAGGATCGCCGGAGTCCACCAGGTCGAGGCTGCAGTGGTCGGGAGCGGCCACTGCACTCCAGTCTGGGCAACAGAGAGAGACTCCAACTCAAAAAAAAAAAAAAGAAAAAGAAAAAATTAGCTGGGCATGGTAACTCGTGCCTGTAGTTCTGGCTGCTTGCAAGGCTGAGGTGGAAGGATCACAGGAGCCCAGCAAGTCGACTCTGAGGTGGCCGTGAGTGTCCCACTGCACTTCAGCCTGGGCGACAGAGTGAGACTTCTACTCAAAAAGAAAATAACTATGTTTACACTGTTTGTACCCTTTCAGCACAACAGTTCTAAGGTAGAAAAGGAATTAGCTTATACTGTACTTTCTAACTTGCTAGTTACTAATACACTTGTAAGTTAGATTCCTTGAAGAAAAACAATTGAAACATTAAACAGTCCTGCCCAGTTTAAGGGGAAGCCTTTGTTATTCACCTGAATTGATCAAAGAATGTTCAGGCTGTGCCTTTAACGAATGGAACTAATTATCACGACCATTCAATATGTGTAGAAGTATCTTATCTTTTCCCCTTTTGACTGTGAGCTAGGATTGTGTCTGGTCACTCCTGTCTTCCTCCTCTTTGTATACCTTTATAGAAATGTGTGGGAGAGTCAAAGATAAAAACCACCCTTGAGAATATAAAACTTAATGGACAGAGCAGGAGAAAAGGATTCAGAAAGGATATATACAAACTTTGTAACAGCGGCTATCTCTGAGGAGTGGGAAAAAGGTTTGTGATAGAGAATGCTATCCCAAAGGGACTATCACCTAATGTTGTCGTTTTTTACATAGAGAAAGAACTGGCGTACAACTTAAAGATTAACTTTATGAAAAGACCAGAGACCATGTGTTAGCTCTGTCCCTTGTACAAGTTGTTACTACTCTAGGCTTCAACTTCTGTTATATTCATATTCAAAAACATCTGGGCTGGGCACAGTGTCTCAGCCTGTAATCCCTGTACTTTGAGAGGCCGAGGCAAGAGGATTGCCTGAGTCTGGGGGTTTGAAAACAGCCTCGGCAACTTGGTAAGACCTCGTCTCTACAATAAATCACACACACACACACACACAAAATTAGCTGGGCGTGGTAGTGTGTGTCTGTATCACCTGATCCCATTAGGTCGACGCTGTAGTGGCTATGAGTGTGCCACTGCACTCCAGTCTGGGCGACAGAGTGAGACTCCAACTCAAAAAAAAAAAAAACCTGCCTTTTCTGTGTCAGGCTCACTGTGCTGGGTACTTGTATTAGATTATCACTTAACAATAGAGAAGTCCTATCTAGGACCTAAAATAAGAAAAAATAAGATCATCAAAGCCCTGAAACCTCACTGCTGACAGTTATTAGAACTTGAATGTAAGAGAACCTCCTCTTCTCTTCCCACCCTTCTAAAGGATATCACTCCCTTTTCCACCCATTCTGTCTCTGACACATTGACTCTGAAACTAACTTCACATCCTATGACTGCAAAATACATTCCCATCTCTTTTATCAGTTTTTGTTTGCTTAAGTCTTGGCTAGACTGAAGTGAGCACATAATGTAATGGAAGATATACTGAAGAAATTCTCACAAAACCATGTTCTGACATCTGTACAAATGGGTCTTGATAAAATAGGTAGATGGAATCGTTATTTGTTTTTTCTTTACTGGAGACAGCATCTCACTATGTTGCTCAGTCTAGAGTACAGTAGCCATTCACAGGTAGAACTTTAGCTCCCTACAGTCTCAAATTCCTAGACAAAAGCAATTCTCTTCCCTAAGTCTCTAGAGTAGCTGGGATTACAGGTACATGCCATTGCACAATGCTCCGAAGTCACTCAGAGTCTCACACTGTCTTTGAAGCTGGAGTACAGTGGTACACTCAAGCCACCACAGCCACAACCTCCTGAGCTCAGGCAATCCTTCCGCCTCAGCCTCCCAAGTAGCCAGGACTACAGGAGTGTGCCACCACACCCAGCTAATTTTTTTTATTTTTTGTAAAGATAAGCTCCCCCTATGTTGTCCAAGCTGGTCTCAAACTCTTGGCCTTAAGGCATCCTTCCACCTCAGCCTCACAAAGTGCTGGGATTACGGGCATCAGTCACCATGCCCAGCCTGAAATCAGTCATTCTTAGATGAGGTCCATCCTCAGAAACAATCAGTAATAGATGGCTGAGATTTAGAGATCTACAATTGAGGCATATAAACTCCAAAGGAGAATTTTCATAACCTAGATAAAGTGAATCACAGATGAAGTCAAATTTAGTTGTTTATAGTAAAATAAATGACCATGGCTGGACTCAGTGCCTCAGCCTGTAATCCCAGCACTTTGGGAGGCCAAGGCTAGTGGATTGCCTGAACCCACTGGTTCGAGACCAGACTGTGGACAACATGGGAGACCTTGTCTCTACAATAAATTTTAAAAATTAGCCAGGCATAGTACCGTGCACCTGTGGTTCCCTCTACTTGGAAGGCTGAAGTGGAAGGATCACCATAGCCCAGCAGGTAGCAACTGGAGTGGCTGTGAGTGTGCCACTGAACTCCAGCCTGGGCGACAGAGTGAGACTCCAACTCAAAAATAAATAAATAAATAAATGACCATAATCAAGTTCACTATATCCTGCCTGAAGAATGTGACAACTGAGAGAACAGTCTGTATAGAATCTTAAAAAAAAAAAAATGCCGGTCACAATGGCTCAAGCCTATAATCCCAGCACTTTGGGAGGCCGAGGCGAGAGGATTGCAGGAGCTCAGGAATTCAAAACCAGCCTGGACAACTTGGTGAGACTTCATCTCTACAGTAAATCAAAAAAATAAGCCTAGCATGGTAGCGCGCACCTATGATTCCAGCTACTTGGAATGTTGAGGGTGAAGGATCGCCTGAGCCCAGAAGGTCGAGGTTGCAGTGGCCGTGAGTGTGCCACTG